TAATAATAATAATAATAAATAATATATATATATATTTTTTTAAACAAGATGTACATAGCTCTATATACAAAACTGTTTGACAGGAATGTTATTTCCTTTCAGTTCCATGCTGCAGAACATAAGAACAGCCGTACTGGGTCAGACCAAAGGTCCATCTAGCCCAGTATCCTGTCTACCGACAGTGGCCAATGCCAGGTTCCCCAGAGGGAGTGAACCTAACAGGTAATGATCAAGTGATCTCTCTCCTGCCATCCATCTCCACCCTCTGACAAGCAGAGTCTAGGGACACCATTCCTTACCCGCAAAAAGAAGAACAGGAATACTTGTAAATTTGTTAGTCTCTAAGGTGCCACAAGTACTCCTGTTCTTCTTTTTGCGGATACAGACTAACACGGCTGCTACTCTGAAACCTGTCATTCCTTACCCATCGTGGTTAATAGCCATTAATGGACTTAACCTCCATGAATTTATTCAGTTCTCTTTTAAACGCTGTTATAGTCCTAGCCTTCACAACCTCCTCAGGTAAGGAGTTCCACAAGTTGACTGTGCGCTGTGTGAAGAAGAACTTCCTTTTATTTGTTTTAAACCTGCTGTTTATTAATTTCATTTGGTGACCCCTAGTTCTTGTATTATGGGAATAAGTAAATAACTTTTCCTTATCTACTTTCTCCACATCACTCATAATTTTATATATTTCTATCATATCCCCCCTTAGTCTCCTCTTTTCCAAGCTGAAAAGTCCTAGCCTCTTTAATCTCTCCTCATATGGGACCCTCTCCAAACCCCTAATCATTTTAGTTGCCCTTCTCTGAACCTTTTCTAGTGCCAGTATAGCTTTTTTGAGATGAGGAGACCACATCTGTACGCAGTATTCAAGATGTGGGCATACCATCTATTTATATAAGGGCAATAATATATTCTACGTCTTATTCTCTACCCCCTTTTTAATGATTCCTAACATCCTGTTTGCTTTTTTTGACCGCCTCTGCACACTGCGTGGACATCTTCAGAGAACTATCCACGATGACTCCAAGATCTTTTTCCTGATTTGTTGTAGCTAAATTAGCCCCCATCATATTGTATGTATAGTTGGGGTTATTTTTTCCAATGTGCATTACTTTACATTTATCCACATTAAATTTCATTTGCCATTTTGTTGCCAAATCACTCAGTTTTGTGAGATCTTTTTGAAGTTCTTCACAGTCTGCTTTGGTCTTAACTATCTTGAGCAGTTTAGTATCATCTGCAAACTTTGCCACCTCACTTTTTACCCCTTTCTCCAGATCATTTATGAATAAGTTGAATAGGATTGGTCTTAGGACTGACCCTTGGGGAACACCACTAGTTACCCCTCTCCATTCTGAGAATTTACCATTAATTCCTACCCTTTGTTCCCTGTCTTTTAACCAGTTCTCAGTCCATGAAAGGACCTTCCCTTTTATCCCATGACAACTTAATTTATATAAGAGCCTTTGGTGAGGGACCTTGTCAAAGGTTTTCTGGAAATCTAAGTACATTATGTCCACTGGATCCCCCTTGTCCACATGTTTGTTGACCCCTTCAAAGAACTCTAATAGATTAGTAAGACACGATTTCCCTGTAGAGAAACCATGTTGACTTTTGCCCAACAATTTATGTTCTTCTATGTGTCTGACAATTTTATTCTTTACTATTATTTCGACTAATTTGCCCGGTACCGACGTTAGACTTACCAGTCTGTAATTGCCAGGATCACCTCTAGAGCCCTTTTTAAATATTGGCGTTATATTAGCTATCTTCCAGTCGTTGGGTACAGAAGCCAATTTAAAGGACAGGTTACAAAGCTTAGTTAATTGTTCCGCAATTTCACATTTGAGTTCTTTCAGAACTCTTGGGTGAATGCCATCTCATCCCGGTGACTTGTTAATGTTAAATTTATCAATTAATTCCAAAACCTCCTCTAGTGACACCTCAATCTGTGACAGTTCCTCAGATTTGTCACCTACAAAAACCAGCTCAGGTTTGGGAATCTCCCTAACATCCTCAGCTGTGAAGACTGAAGCAAAGAATTCATTTAGTTTCTCCGCATAGGCCATTTCTATTTTATAAATCAATACTACACAATTATATTACCTAATAGTTATATACCACATTTCATCTTAAGTACTCAAAGTCCTCTATGAATGTTAAATAAGCCTCACAACACCCACGTGATTAGTTAAGTGGTAATATGAGTAGTTAAGGCAGAACTGAAAGATGATAAGAGAGCTCATATGGCTCCAGCAAAAGGAGAAAATAGCCATGAGAGAGTGCTCCTTATGGAAGTCAAGAGGTGGGGGAAGCTCTCCTTCTGTTTTTAGCAGAGGAGAAAGAAATGTGTTTTAAATCCTTCTCTTGCCCATTTAACTCCTGATTATTATCCCCATTTTACAGATGGAGAGAATGGAGCAGAGAGTTGCCTTGCTCAAAGTCACACAATGGCTGTAAATGGATAGCACTAATTTAGCAACTCTACAGTTTGTTCATGTTAGCCAGGCTATTTTAATGGATATTTTTATTTCCTATCTACAAATACTCTTAACTATACAATTGAACTTGCAGAGCCCTCCAGGTACCTATCCTACAGTTCTTGAAACAGCTCCCTAATGCAGTGGCTTTGAAATTTTGAATTATCTTCAGGGAATTGTGGAAGATGTCAAATCCCCCTAACTGTCTGGGGAAATTCCAATAAGCCTCTGGATTCTGGCATAATTTCCTAAATCCTTCCCTAGAATAGAGATCAGGAAGAATTCTCAGCTCCCACGCCTTGCTCAGAAATTATTATTACTGTTGCAGCACATCACGCTGAGATCAAGACCCCATTGCGCTATGCACTGTACACACACACAGTCTTTGTTCTGCCAAATATACAATATAAATAGAAATGCTAAAGCACTGGAGAAAGAAAGTGCTAGTATCCCCATTTTATAGATGGGCAACAAAGGCACAGAAAATTAAGGGATTTGGCCAGAGTCACAAAGGAAGTCTGTGGCAGAGCTGGGAATTAAGCCCAGATTTCCTGAGGAGCAGTCCAGTATCTTAACTATTCATAAGACCATCCTTCCTCTCTGAAAGTTATTTAATGGAGCTTCAGAATAGCAACTTCCCGCTGTCTGTGGCAAGGTAGTAGAGGGTGTTCCAGCAGTATCTGCAGATAGCCAGAGACCAACACCAAACATTGATGGAGTTTGGGATATAAAGGTTGTGAATCCTCACCCTGGAAGAACCTTGCTCTCTGCAGTACTTGGGGATGAAGATCCAGATCATGACCACTGATTAGTGGAACTAATTTCAGAGGGGTAGCCGTATTAGTCTGTATCAATAAAAATGAGGAGTCCTTGTGGCCTCTTAGAGACTAACAAATTTATTTGGGCATAAGCTTTCGTGGGATATAACTCACTTATCAGATGCATGGTGGAGTGGAAAATTCAGTAAACAGGTATAAATATACAGCACATGAAAAGATGGGAGTTGCCTTACCAAGTGGGGGGTCAGTGCTAATGAGGCCAATTCAATTAGGGTGGATGTGACCCATTCCCAACTGCTGAAAAGAAGGGGTGAATATCAACAGAGGGAAAATTACTTTTTGTAGTGCTAACAAGGCCAATTCAATCAAAGTGGATGTGGCCCATTCCCAGCAGTTGACAAGAAGGTGTGAGTATCAACAGAGGGGAAATTATTTTTGTACTGACCAGCCACTCCCAGTCTTTATTCAGGCCTAATTTGATGGTGTCAAATTTGAATGTTACAATTCTTGATGTCTGATTTGTGTCCATTTATTCTTTTGCGTAGAGACTGTCCGGTTTGGCCAATGTACATGCCAGGGGGCAGTGCTGGGATATATCACATTGGTAGATGTGCAGGTGAACGAGCTCCTGATGGTGTGGCTGATGTGGTTGGGTCCTATAATGGTGTTCCTTGAATAGATGTGCGGACAGAGTTGGCAACGGTGTTTATTGCAGGAGTTGGTTCCTGGGTTAGTGTTTCTGTTGTGTGGTGTGTAGTTGCTGGTATTTGCTTCAGGTTGGGGGGCTGTCTGTAAGTGAGGACTGACCTGTCTCCCAAGGTCTGTGAGAGTGAGGAATCATCCTTTAGAATAGGTTGTAGATCCTTGATGATGCGCTGGAGGTTTTAGTTGGGGGCTGTAGGTAATGGATAGTGGCGTTCTGTTACTTTCTTTGTTGGGCCTTTCCTGTAGTAGGTGACTTCTGGGTACCCTTCTGGCTCTGTCAATCTCTTTCTTCACTTTCCCAGGTGGGTATTGTAGTTTTAAGAACGCCTGATAGAGATCCTGTAGGTGTTTGTCTCTGTCTGAGGGACTGGAGCAAATGCGGTTGTATCTGATATCAGGTATCACCACAAAAAGTAATTTTCCCTCTGTTGATATTCACCCCTTCTTGTCAACTGTTGGGAATGGGTCACATCCACCCTAATTGAAATGGCCTCGTTAGCACTGACCCCCCACTTGGTAAGGCAATTCCCATCTTTTCATGTGCTGTATATTTATACCTGCTTACTGAATTTTCCACTCCATGCATCTGATAAGGGAATTATATCCCATGAAAGCTTATGCCCAAATACATTTGTTAGTCTCTAAGAGGCCACAAGGACTCCTCATTGTTTTTAGTGGAATGGAGTTATTCTCAAGACATGAGATGAGTAGCAGTGGCTGAATAATTTTAGGATGAGGAAGGAGACTTTCAAATACCTCAGTGATAAACTAGATTTGACACTGCAGTTACATTAGAGTACCTCTAGCTGTGGAAAAGGGAGCATTAGCTATCACAGGTATTTGCCAATCAGTTAGCACTAGTTTAAGTTTTGGAAGTACACAGTCAGTGCTGTTGTCAGAGAGGTGTCACATAGCATATGGCAATGTATGCATGGCATAAGTGTGAGATCAAGGTGGCCAATGTGCCAAAGGTCATTCAGAAATTTAAATAACTGGTGTTCCCAAATCCTGCAGAATGGTGCCTAGGTGCTCATTCTGTTTCCCACAATAAACTAAGAGTGCATTAACCGAAAAGGGTACTACTCAGGACTCAGTGGATCACTGTTGCAGATTTCTGGAGTTGTACATAGGGTGACCAGGCAAAGTATATGATGCCAGAAGTTTTAAGAAATCTGGAATTCTAAGGAGTGGGCAGAGGGAACTCTATTTCTAGCATTGCTGTCTCTATCTCCACTTGATGTTGGGTGACCTCGCCTATCATCTTTTGCAGTTGGTAATGAAACAATTTCCAGATTACACAAGCCTGTACTCTAAGCAGGTGAAGACAGGGTCATAGTGAAATGTGCTTCTGCGAGACTGTTTGAAAAATAGAGATAGGTCTATTAACCCCAACCCAAATTCAGTGCCTAATGTAACATTTATAATATTTGCCTATTGCATAATGTATGTGAAAGCAAAGGTAAAGTCTTCCACAATCTGCAAGGGAACGGAGCTGCAGCATTTAGAGCAGCCTAAGGACAGAAAGAAAACTATTGCATCTGAGGACATTATTCACATTACCACACTGTGGTCTGTGCATTGCTCAGTTTAGAAAGTGTTTTGTGTGCACACTTTCAAATTAAGTCATAAGGACATGATTTGGAATTATTGAATGAAATTCAATGGCCTGTGTTAGGTTGCAGGCCAGATTAGATGATCAGAATGGTTCTGGCTTTATAATCTACGAAAGGGAGGTGGGGAATTACTAAATATTACCTTTTGGGAAACTAAGATATGGCACCTCAGTACAGAAATGCGTTACTCGGGTTTTTGTCTAGGCACAGAATAAGAGTTGTTTAAAATGGTGTAATGAGATCTGTTTGAAAGGAAAATATTAATGTCAGAGACATAGGCACATCTGAATTTGAAAAAAATCAATGTATTTGTCACTTTATAAATAGTTTATTTCAATAAATGGCTCATAAAGCAATAGATGTAGCAGTAGAAATGAGCTCACCAACCAGCAACTATTGACCTTTGAGACTGTTAGAAACAGAAGACGGTAGAAGGAAATTCCTGCAAGCAGGAAATAGTACCCTGGGAGAAAAACAAAATGGCAACAACCCACACAAATGTAAGTTTTTGTAGGCATGAGGTGACAAATTGTATTCCAACTTACATGCCCTGGAGCCATAATGAAGTTGGACAATAACAAATCAGGGTATAATCTGGCCTGAAATCTCGTCTGTGTTGTACTTTTGTTAATCTCCAATCTCACCCCTTCTCAGAAATATTTCAAATATAGTAAAATAACTCATAAGCTTCAAAAGATTCTCTGAAGCTATTAAGGGCATGAAAACCTACAGATTCTCTATTAGAAAACACATAAAAGGATCAATTCTTGAGATGTATTGGCTACCAGCAATTCCTCGAGTCAGTGAAAACTGCCACTCCTCAGCATTTTTCAGGAGTTGGCCTAAAACAGAGGAGGGTATGAAAAACAAAGTTTTTCCAAGTGGATAGAATTTTAATGAATTTGCACAAATTATTCACACAAGAACAATCTCTCTTATATAGGATTCTTTACTAGGAATTTAAATGAGTCATTGTGTCTGTTATAAACAGATAGTGAATTATTAATGAGTAAACGTGTAATCTGGGACTGAGGGTAATAAATAAATGTTTCCAAACGATTTATGTGCATAGTTCCATTTTCTTTTGAATTGCAAAAAAATAATTGCCAGGAAATAGACATCCTTAAGCACTTTGTAATTACCACCAAATGTATAGTTTGACAAATCTGAAATAATCCTATCAAATCACCAATCCAATCCTATCCTCCTGTATTAAAAAATAAACTGTATATCTATGGAGAAAATGTAGATGGTTGTGATGGTGTAGTTTGAGCCTGGAAATTACTAAAGTATATTTTATTTGAATCTAAACTAAAAGCAAGTCAAATATTTTCAGATATAGGGCCATGATGAAGGATTTCATAAGATATGCATCGGAATAGAATACAGCTCATTGTGTTGCATAGGAATGGCCATACTGGATCAGATATGTGGCCTCCTAGTCAAATATCCTGTCTCCCACAGTGGTCTGAACTAGATGATTCTGAGGAAGGTGCAAGAAACTCCACAGTGAAGTAAACCAAGGTGGAGTAATCCGCCCCCTATGAAGGTGTCATCCTAACCCCCTGATAGTTAGAGAATGGCATAAATCCTGAGGCATGAAGTTTTATATCCTTTCCAGATTTCTTTTCACACATATTACAATTGTGGATATTCTTGATATCCATATAATTGTCCAATTTTGCTAAATTGTTTGCCTCAATATGTGCCAATAAATTCCACACTTTAATCACAGATTGAGTGAAATTTTTATCAGTTTTGAATCTGCCACCTAATTTAATTGAATGCCCCTTTGTTCCATTGTCCATGGCTCATAACACAAAGACTCTTCCAATCTACTTTCTATACACCATTAATTATTTATCATATTTAGTATAGCAGTACCTAGAGGCCAACCAGGAATGCTGGTACTGTACATAAAATAAGAGCCAGTCCCTGTCCCGCAGCATTTACAATTTAACAGACAAGGCAGAAGAAGGTAGGAGGGAAGGGATTCAGCACACAGGTGGGGTAAGCAATGTGATGGCTGCAGATGTCACGTTAATTCCAGATTTTTTATTTTTCCTTTGTTATTTAACTCCTTTCCATTGAGTTATATTAGGAGAGGATTAGGTACATGGAAAGAAAAAGGAAGCAATTAGCACAGGGCAGAGAATGCTCACAGTGAAAACTCCAATAAGCAGCTTGATGACATCATCAGTGTCCTTTGGTCCCTGCTTGAGTTGCTTTCTGCAGCTACTTTGATGGCTTAATTCCTTGGCTGTTTGTTCCCTGCAGTTTCTTTCCAAAAAGGTACCTGACTGGAGGCAGGGATGTGCCGTATGGGTCCTAGTGCCACCACAGAAGACATCTTCTCTGCACCATTCTGGTTGTGGGGTTTGTGTGTGCGTTCAATTGATCTAATATGTCCCCATTATTGTAGTGTCTGAATCCCTCACAATCTTTAATATACTTATTCAGACAACACCACTGTGAGATAGGGAAGTACTATTATTACTATTTTACAGATGGGGAACTGAGGAACAGAAAGGCTAAGTGACTTGCCCACATCAGTGAGGAATGGAGAATTGAACCTGGGGAATTGATCCCTTCTGTATAGGCTCCTCCTTTCCCCCAAATTTTTTAATCTACTTCCTAATAAATTTAAACCTTTCTTTATGTTTTTTAAAGCAACAAAAATATGTATTATTCCCATCTTAAATATATTTAAAAAGAACTGCTTTACATATTTTCACTACAATGAATCTTAAGTCATCATTATTAACAAAACATTTCAGATACACAAATGGGTAAGACACATGAGAATGTCAGACTCATTTTTAATAATCAATGCATTTCATGGGCTGGTCAACATTTGTGTAAATTTATTGAAACAACATGTCTGTTTCTTCACATTCCAATCAATTTAAGTGCATTGTCCCTTATAAATGACAGGTTTCAGAGTAGCAGCCGTGTTAGTCTGTATCCGCAAAAAGAAGAACAGGAGTACTTGTGGCACCTTAGAGACTAACAAATTTATTAGAGCATAAGCTTTCGTGGACTACAGCCCACTTCTTTGGATGCATATAGAATGGAACATATATTGAGGAGATATATATACACACAACTAAAACCTCTCCAGCACATCATCAGAGATCTACAACCTATCCTGAAAGATGATCCTTTACTCTCACAGATCTTGGAA